CCACATTTTCACTAGCCATCCTTTTGCTGATGATGTACCTGTAGAAACCTTTATTGCTGCCCTTCATGTCCCTTGCCAGATTCAGCTCCATATGGGCTTTAGCTTTCCCAAGCCCATCCCTGCATGTTTGGACAGTGTCTCTATACTCCTTCCACCTCACCCAATTCTGCTTCTGCCTCATGTGCGCATGCTTTTAATGGTAGAGTTAAGTCAGGAGTTCCTTGCTCATTCACGTGTGCCTCCCGCAACCTTGCTTTTAAAATAGTCACTTTAATAAGAGAGAAACTTTGTCATACAGTGCACAGTACCAGACTGAGTCTTAACTCATCTTTGTGAAAGGTGAACCTGAAATTCTTAACTCTTCACCCTTTCAGAAATGTCTGTGCAACAACCTGTGTTCTGTGGTTTGAGCATGGATTTGATAAGGCTTTAGTGAAATGAAACACAGCAAAGGGCTGTAGTTCTTCATTTGCTGTGCCTTCTTTGTTCTAGTTTTTCTGTTGTTCCTCTGTTTTCTGCTGCTGTCTGTACAGTTAACCAGCTATTTTAAGGACTTTCTTCGGAAGGATGCTCTCAGAACTGGCAGTGCTTTGGGAGATGTTCTGAAGGTGATGGCACTCTGTCTTGGTTTTCATGTTGTTGAACTGGTCAATAATAAATGCAATCTTGAATGGTGAGAATGAAGAAGGGATAACATAAGCAGTATAGTTATATATAAACAGTTATATCAAAAGCCAGGATAAAACTATGATTACTTAAAATACTCTTCTCACTTTCCTCTGTGAATGTACTCCTGTTTTAAATGAACAGTAACGAAAGAAAAATGAAAAGATTCAGCCTCAAAGCTTGTGATGAAGAAACAGTTCAGTGGGTTAAAAGCAGGTTTTTAATAGTTCCGTTGTATGCTTCCTATTCAGGTAGCTTTATGATTTGAGGGGTGTATATTGAAATACAATAATTGTTTTCATTCAGGTAAACAAACATTAAAGATATTTGATGGGAATGATGCAGTGAAACGCAATCAATTTCGACTGATTTCAGTTCCAAGGATTGCAAAAAATGAAGAAGTTGTGGTAAGATACCTGGTGAAGGTCAATATTCTAGTGTGATAAAGAGGCATATGAGTGTATATTACAATAGTCAAAAGCTAACAGTTCTACAAATGTAACTCAACAACAACAAAATTTGTAAATGGGCTATAATATTACAATGTAATTTGACTTCTTCATGTAGTGCTCTGATTTTAGAACATCTGAAGAAGTGGTGGCCTACATATCTGTAGCATAATGGGGACCACTGCATATCACATGTTAAGCAGTCATTCTCCTTCCCTGTGTGACACTGAAGACTGATTTTATTGATGTGAGCAAATCTTGGATAATCAACTCCTTAGCCCTTGCTCCTCTTCTGTAGTATTTAGTGGTTTGACCTTTATCCTGGACAGCCACCACTGTTGCACTTCAATTAATCACCTTGGAAGTCTGAAGCATGCCATAGTTACTTCCACTTCTTGGCTGTGAAAGTAATGAATTATCGATCACATAGTGGCCACTCGCTAGCTTTTCCAGTGCTCCATCTGGGGTGGAAACATGACTCAGTACTAAATCAAATGTTCTGTACAGATCTTAATTTACTGGGCTGAGCAGAGACCCCATGCTGTGCAGAAATGAAGCCCAGAGCAGATGCGAGGTGGTGCACAGTAGAACTGAGCATGGTGAGGACTCAGAGTCATAAAGGACTTGGCACAGGAGTCTGGAGAATTTATTACATCAGAATTTTGACAATTTAAACCTACAACTCATTAAGATTTTTACCATGATATTGTGCTCAAAATCAACAAGAGTTTTGAAAATGTTCTGCATGTCAAAGATCTTCAAGGAAAATTGTGTACAGTGCTACTTGCCTTTCAAGCACATTTTATCAGTCTGCTGCTTATGATACCAGGGCAGATTAATACCAGTTCTCATGAGTGACTTACTGGGCTGTATTCACTGCAGCATCTGTGTTACGCAGCGTCTGTGTTAGCAGAGGTGCTGCAGGCATGGGCCAGTAATGGATGTAAAATTCCTGTGACTGCTTGCATCTTCCAAGGACAGCCACTTCACAAGTGCGTGGGTTCAGGGCAGCCTTGTGGCTGAGAAGCTCATTAATTTTCAGCATCCCCTAAGTGCAAGAAGATTGAATATGCAGAGTTGGGCACAGTCAAGTGGAATTTACCATTTTCCTTGTAGAGTAAATTTCGCATGCAGTGAGTGTAGTTTTATTGGTGCTGAATTTTTATGTTTGATCTATGGAGTTAAAATTACTATCACTTGACAAAAATACTGTGGGTTGTGTTCAAATCCATTGATATCTCAAGTTTTCTTTTTGTATCTTCCACTAAAATTTGTTTTCAAAACTTTTTTCATGTTTTGGTTTTTGCTATTGCTATTTACCCACCGTTCTGCACTTAAAACATGCATTAAAGGTTGGTTCCATAAGTGAGGTATTTATAAATGTTTATGGCTATACAGGTCTTATACGATGTCCTTTCAAGAAAATGTTAATTTATCTTGCTGTGTTGTAGGAGGCTGCTTTGAGGGCATACTACATAAATGATGACCAGCAGGAGTATGAGCTTCAGACCTTCACACAGCAGGCGCTGCTGTCTGATGATGTTATCAACAGGAACGATGCTGCAGAGGACAGCAACTTGGGCTCAGTATTCCGAGAATCCATTCCTGAAGCTTGGATCATCAGAGCCAAACCAAAGGACGAGGAAGTAATCAGAATTTATCCTGCCTGGCTGAAGTGAGTGTTTTCCTCCTTTATCACAAGGTTATCCTGCTTGGCTACATTTGTCCTCTGTAGTCTAGTCCGGTGTGTTTCAGTTATTGAAGTTGCACAAGTATAATAGAGAATGTAGTTTCTTCTTCTGTATTTCAGGATTCTTCTGTTTATTTTTCTGAATGAGTAATATACATATTACTCATTCCCATGCCTGGAAACGTGCTCGTGGGTTTCTTTACGTGCATAGACCATACTGTGCAACTTGTGCAGTTCTATTATCGTGCGTTTAGCCAAGAAGATGCAACTTTACATTAACTGCATCTCTAAACAATGATGACATACACGTCACTTGAAAGCTTGATGGCTTTTTGTAAGAAATATTAAGTAGGAAGGATTCAGTGTAACTTTTGATGTAAGAATAGGAGGAAAAAATAAAGCAAAAAAATCTGTTCCATTTACCACTGAGACAATATACATTTTAAGCATGTTTAGCAGTGGAAACAAAACTGGCTGGTGACCTATTAATTTCTTAAGAGCAATGGGATAAAATTTAAACATTTGTTCATTTTACTTATGCAACTAAATTGCCAAATTTTATGAAAGACTTACAGGTAATTCTGTGTATAGGAAGAAACTAATTTGCAGTGCTACAATTGTAATGACAAGTTCCTTGAGATGAAAGTCTTTGCTTGTCTGTTGGGCTAATACTGCATCTGCCATGAGCCTCAGTGAACACTGTTCTTCAACTAATACAAATTTCAGCCTACCCCCATAGAAAATTTGCCACTTAGGTAAAAAAGGTACATGCAGGATAGGTCAAATGATTGTCCTAAAATAAGTATTTCTTTTCTCTTTAGGGTGGGAATGGCGTATGTTTCTCTACGAGTAAATAAGGATAGCACTACACAGACTGTGATCAAAGAAGTGCTTCCATTACTTGGAAGACAGGTAAATGAAAAATCATAAGCATGTCCATACACCACCTGCATGACCCTGACATGGGGCGTGTATGTTTTTCTCTTTAGAAAAATTATAATCAGTCCATTTGCGGTTAATGTGAATGTTGCTAATGTTTGGTAGGTGATCTCTTGTGACTGGTATGATGCTCAAAACTTTCTGCAATTTTGATGGTAGACCTGATTGCTCTGTACTGGAAGTCACCATCAGTCTTTCTGGGTCAAACAGATTTACTTGTATGAACACAATGATTCTTGGCATGCAGCATATTTTTTCTGGTTGTTTATGTCTTGAGATACTTAAAATACACTTGTATGTAACTACACTGCTAATCTTCCTTGTTGGGAAACTGGCAGTCACTGTTAGGATGATCACGCTTGTCTCCTACTTCTTTGCACTGCTCTGCAAAGGAAATCACAGAATCATAGAATATCTCAAGTTGGAAGGGACCCATAAGGATCATCGAGTCCAACTCCTTGCTCCTCGCAGGACTACCTAAAACTAAACCATATGACTAAGAGCGTCATCCAGAAGCTCCTTGAACTCTGACAGGCTTGGTGCCATGACCACTTCCCTGGGAAGCCTGTTCCAGTGACCAACCACCCTTTCAGAGAAGAACCTTCTCCTAATGTCCAATCTGAACTGCCCCGATGCAGCTTCATTCCATTTCCTCGTGTCCTATCGCTGGTCACCAGAGAGAGGAGATCAGCACCTCCCCCTTTGCTGCCCCCCTTGAGGAAGTTGTAGAGTGCGATGGGGTCAGCCCTCAGCCTTCTCTTCTCCAAGCTGAACAAACCAAGTGACCTCAGCCGCACCTTCTAAGTCTTGCCCGTGAGTCCTTTCACCATCTTGATCACCCTCCTCTGGACGCACCCTCATAGTTTGATGTCCTTCTTACACTGAGGTGCCCAAAACTGCACACAGGACTCACACCAGTGCAGTGCAGAGTAGGACAATCACCTCGACTGGCTGGCTATGCTGTGCTTGATGCACCCCAGGGCATGGTTGGCCCTTTTGGCTGCCTGGGCATACTGTTGACTCATATTCAACCTGCCATCAACCCAAACCCTCAGATGTCTTTCCATGGGGCTGCTTTCCAGCCTCTCGTCCCTCATTTTGTATGTAACCAGGATTACCCAGTCCCAGGTGGAGAATCCGGCTTGCTCTTGTTAAATTTCATACGGTTGGTGATTGCCCAGCTCTCTAGCCTATCCAGATCTCTCTGTAAGGCCTCTCTACCCTTGAGGGAGTCGGCAAACTTACTTAATGTGCATTCGATTCTTGCATCCAGGTCATTTATAAAAACATTGAAGAGCACTGGCCCTAAAATTGAGTCCTGGGGAACCCCACTGGTGACTGGCCGCCAGCCTATTGTAACCCCATTTACTATAACCCTTTCAGCACAACCCATCAGCCAGTTGCTCACCCAACGTATTATGGACTTTTCTAGCTGTGTGCTGGACAGGTTATCCAGAAGGATACTGTGAGAAACAGTATCAAAAGCTTTGCTAAAATCCAAACCCACCACATCCACTGGCTTCCCTTGGTCAACTGGATGGGTGACCTTGTCATAAAAGGAAATTAAGTTGGTTAAGCAGGACTTTCCTCTCATAAACCCGTGCTGGCTATGACCAGTGACTGCATTGTCTCTCAAGTGTTTTTCAGTAACTTCCAGAATAACCTTCTCCATAATTTTATCAGGCACTGAAGGGGGACTGACAGGCCTGTAATTACCAGGGTCTTCCTTCTTACTCTTCTTGAGAATTGGGACATCATTTGCCAGCTTCCAGTTGACTGGGACCTCTTCAGACTCACAAGACTGTTGAAAAATAATGGAGAGAGGTCCCGCGATGACACTGGCCAGCTCTTTCAGTACCCTGGGATGAACTCCATTGCGCCCCATAGGTTTATGCGCATCCAGCTGGAGCAGCAAGTCTTGAACAAGTTCAGGGTCGGCTGGGAGTTTATCATCCCACTGGGCCAGGGTCCTCCAACACAGGGCTCCAGGGGTCCCAGGGCCCATCGTCGGCGTTGAAGACAGAGGCGAAGAAGGCATTAAACATCTCCACTTTATCTGTGCCCCTATTTGTGAGGTGACCAACCTCATCAAGTAATGGACCGATGTTATCTCTGATCCTTCTTTTGCTTTTAAACATATTTTTAAAAGCCCTTTGTCCTTCAGATCAGAGTGCTGGCCAGCTTGAACTCTAATCGAGCTTTGGCCGCACAAATTTTTCCCTCAGTGGCCGAACGGCATTTCTGTAGTCCTCAAGGACTACAAGGAAGGACTCAAGGCTGAATGGCACCCACATTCTTTACCATCTGCATTCCTTCCTACCTCATTGGAAATGATTAGATATATCTTGCAATCTTGTAGATGCACGTTTTCCTTGGAAGATGATCTCTTTTCAGTCTGCCTGTCTTTGTTACAGTTGGTGCCAAGACAGCGCGACTTTTAGGAAACACGCTACTAGAATTTGCAGTAGAAGTGTGCCAAGGCACTGGCAGTCTCAATCAGACACACAGGTGTAGAGGCATGAAGCTATAGCATGCACATTTCATTCAGCAGTTGGGGCTTCTGAGCACACCAGCAGATCAGCACGCTTCCGCTGCTCCAGGGAACAGCTGTGCTCACAGAGGGTGACCACTGCTTTTTGTGGTTGTGGTTCCAGCAGTTGGGGCTTCTGAGCACACCAGCAGATCAGCACGCTTCCGCTGCTCCAGGGAACAGACAGAGGGTGACCACTGCTTTTTGTGGTTAATTACAGGGTACGTAGGAACATGCATGTGGCTGGCTATCTGCAGTAGGTGATAATTGTAGATCTCTGTCTAGGTGTACACAGCCATGTAGTGCATGCAGCTCGTTTTGCACCACAGGATGGCTCTAGATTTGGTTTCAGTCCTTTTCCTCAAGTGCTGTGGACTTTTTCACAAAACTTGGAAAATTTTGCCTGAAGTCTTGTCTCATCTGAAAAAAGCAACTGTCAAACAGGAGAGTTGGGTACTCTGATCTTCACATCCCTCTATTTCAGAAGCTAGTTTTATGTTGTAAGGGACTTAATTCCTTGGCTTAATTGCAATTTCTCTGATATTGATAGGTTTTTTAAAGGGTTTTCTTCCTTTTCAGTATGAAGATGCACATACAGGAAATCTCTTTTTAATTTCCAGTATTTGCCTGAAAATCCTCTCCAAGTTGCTCTCATCAAATTTCAGGCAAAGCAAATGTAAGCAGTTGAGGCTTTTAACACCCCTGTTCATGAAATGTGAAGCAAGATCATTTGTCCTCTGAGTCCCAAGGCCCAAAATTAAAATACTTCCTCAATCTGAGTGTCATATGTTACCATCCTAGTAAATGGTTCAACTCTTGGCTGTGCCAGCTTTTCTCATCCAGCTGCGAGGGACCCAGGTGGTCCCTGGCAGTATAGTTTGGAGAAGGGACTGCGGCACATATGAAGAGGGTTTTGTTCCATCAAGTATCGGTGGAATGCCCCAGGAGATGGGGACTGATCAGCCTGCTTTTGCCCAGCCTGGTTCCTGGGCCATCTTCTCAAAGAGCAGGTTCATTACCAGTCCTCACGCTTTCTCTGGAAGTACACTCTGGAAATATCCTAGTTGAGCTGCTGGTCACTGGAGGGGCGTAGAGTTAAGTGTGCTTTACACGTGCCCCTTCACCATGGGGCTGCAAGAATGCTGACGTAGTTAAGAGCACAGGAGCCTGATGCCATGTGTGGGAGGCTGAGTGTGTAAAATGAAGATTATTCCTGGCTCAGGAGGAGTGGGTTAGGGGAAGAACATTGTGGTTGATTTTAAAATGTTTAAATTTCCATGCTCTGTGCGTGCAGTGTATAACTTTAACGTAAACATCTGACAAAACTACATTTCGTTCAGAAACTACATTTACTTGTTGCATCTTTTGGCAGACGGAATGCCTGCAGAATTTCAAATTGGTGGAAGTGCTTATGGGCAGTAAACAAGGTAAGTGAAGGAGCATTGGCGAAAGGCACGTCTGTAATTGATCTTCTAGCTTTTTTTTTTTCCCTTTTAACACAGTCACAGTTAATTTTTTACAGTAAATGCCTTCACAAATGAAACTTCAGCATCATGTTGAAACTTAATCAGAAATGCTGCTGGTTCTTTTCGGTCTTGGGTGTCCTGTGGGAATATGGTTCCTTTCTCTTTCTTCATGATCACATAAAGGTTTATTAGTGGTTTCTGGTGGGTATTGACACTTCGGCAAAGAGCCCTGTTTTGGGGAGCTGCCTTTAACTGACATAATTTTCTTAACTGCAGTTATTTAGTAAAGATTAATTATAAAGTCAGTTGGCTCCCTTTCTTCTCTCCTCTTTCCCCCTGACACTTCCCCCAAACAAGAGCAAATTCGAGTCCTGAGGTAGTCCAAGGAGTATGTGTGTGCGTTATGAAGTACAGAAATACGCAGTCCCAGCATTGCTCAAGAGGTTTGTGATCCTGCAGGAGCTGAGCTGGTGTTCTCCAAGTTCACATCCCTTTGTGCTTCATTATTTGTAAGGCTGCATGGAGAGAGAAATAAAGCCACTGAAGTAGCCTGATGATGCCCTGGTCACACGCGAGTAAATACCTTTGTAGTTCAAATACTGGCCTGATACTTTGCTTTCTTTGTGAGCATTATCAACAAGTTGTTTTATAAGGTTATTGTAGCCTTGTGTCTTACCTGGGTTGGTTCCTGGTGCTCTGTTTTAAAGCATCATTTATAACCTCACTTTAGCTGGAAGTTGTTACAATTGTTTTAATATTTTAATAAAATACAGAAGTTGGTTATTACTGTAGTTGTCAGGGAATGTAGTTTTAAAGTCTTCTGTTAAACAGTTAGCTTGTTACCAAAGTACTGCTTGTCTTTTGAGTGGCTTCAAGCTGTTTCTGCCTTTCTTTAAAGGAGGGTGATGATCAAGAACTGTGAACAAAATCAGACTGTTCAAAGCACCTGTGTAGTTTTTCGGTGGAATAATGAGTAACTCAGGTCTGCATGGTCCTTTATGTTAGTTGTATGCAGAGTTGTGAATTTTCCCTAAATATTTTTTTTTGTTTTGTTTAATTGAGCCTGATAATAACTTACAGTGCTTTCAAACATGATTAATGTTCTTGCTGTCTCTAGTTCAGCGCATGGTCTTGGACAATCAGGAACTGATTCTTAACAGACTCAAGGACATAAGAAAGGTAAATTTGAAAAAGAAACATGATCCTTTTTTACAGCAAGCAGGGAGTCCCCTTTCTTACAGAAAAAGTAAGTAATCGGTTACGCCCCCAGCTGGCTCATCTGTAGAGAAGCTAAGTGCTTAGACTGAAGTTTGTTTCTGTTCATGATATTCTCCAGGCGTAGAGGACTTGATTTTGTTTCACGATATCTTTTTGCCAAATGCCACGTCATTTGTTTTTCTTTGTTTTGGTAGACTTCAATACGTCAGATGAATCAAACAAGATTTTACATTGTGGAAAACAGTAAATCCATTGTACGAGTAAATTTATTTGTTGGTGGCCTTCCACCTCAGCTTTCCCCTGAAGAATACACAAATATTCTCAAGGATGAATTAGCTATCAAAAGTAAGTAAACAGGTGCATTTTGAGATATATTCACTTGTACAAAATAAAACGTAGTAGCAACTATTGCTCCTTTTTATTATTTTTTTCTTAACGTTTTCTGACCTTATTTGAAAAATGAGTCTGCCTTGTACTCTCACAGGGGGCTTTTTTATTCCTTTTAACATGTTCATGGTTGCATGAGAGATGTGACAGCTCATTATTCACAGAATTATTATTGCATTACTTGAGTTATATGTGACCACACCATGTTTTTTTAGTGAAAAAGCATCACTTTTTAGAAGTGAACCGTACATACCTTACACCATTCAAATTATGGCAATGCAGTTTAATTCCCTGTGCATGAATGTTTCTCGCTTTTATTAACCTCTGACATTTTTTGTGTGGGCACGTAAGTTGTTCATGATCTCTGTGCCTGCCTTCATGGAGAAGTGTGAGCAGTGTGTGCACACACATACAGACAAGCACTCAGTGAGAAGAATTTATTTTTATTTTTCAAAGAAGTGTAATTGATTTTTCATAATACTCTTTCAACCAACATGTTCTATAAACAGTGTCAGGAATGCGTCATGCTTTTTGTTTCAGGAAACGAAGCATTTTTCCCAATCTTTTATATAACTTCAAGAGGAATTAAACTTTAAATGCCAGAAAGAATTCATAGTCACCTTTTATGAAAATCAGTTTAGCTTTTCTAACTTGCAAAGTAAACTTAGGAGAGGGAAAGTGTTAGCTGGAAGTTCTCCCTATATTTGTATAACTTCTAATATTTATTTATATTATATTTATGTAACTTTTAAAAATATTTTAAATATTTGCTCTAAATGTACCCGAGGTTTTATGTGTTTATATTTTTACCCTTTGCAGCAAATGTAGTATCTGTGAGTCATGTTTATCAAGCACAAGGTAAGCATTAAGATTTTTAGTCTTGAAACAATGTCTGTTTTCAGAACTGCAGCCTAATACTAGAGGCTCTAAGCTCAGAGTATGTTAGTCTTATTGCATAAGCAAAAAGCCCTACAGATAAAATGTAACACACTGTGTTTATGAAGAGCAGTGGATTAGTGTTACTTTATTAAAAAAAATAAAAACTTTAGCTTCATGTCTTTTGTATCAGAAAGTGGTAATATTTCATCATAAAAATGAGTTTTGAAGTTGCACTTCAACTGAATAGTCTAACACCACTGAACTGTTAAAAACCCTTCAAGTGCTCTCTCTTTATTTTGGCTTCTAAAATACTAAAATTTGGTACTGCTTTTGAGCTTGATGGGAGTGTTTCACAGTCACTGTTGCTTAGCACAGCATTAAGTAGGGGTTCAGTGGCTGGAAGTCTCAAGAAAATCGGTACACTCATCTCCACATCCATCCTTTGAGCTTTTGCTTTGCTTTTGCTGTACTAATTTTATTTCAGCAAGGTCAGAGAAGCTGTGAGGCTTCTGAGAGCTGGAGCAGCATGGCTCTGTGCAGCTTTAGTGCTGTCGTCAGGTAGAGATCTGCATTTGGTAAAACTTAGAAGTGAGGAATTTATCTTTTGTATATTTAGGTGTCCATATCCAAGATGTTTCACGTCCTTTGGCAGGCTTAACTTTAACATGACGGCTAAATGAATCTTTCTGTGGTGTGGTTTTGAAGGCTCATGTGTTGCTGTCTCCACATGGCTAGTTAATACAAACTTTTCATAAGGAAAATCAGAAAGCTTTCAGATGTGCCTTCTCCTTTTCATATTTGTCAATGGAGAATAGTTGTTTTTGTGATACTCTTCTTATGTCACAGCTTCATTTAACCAAGTTTATCTGCATGTGTGTTTTAGATGTTTCTGCTTGTGTGTGCTTTTTATTGTTCTTTGTGTTTTTTTCACTTTCTGAGTATTTTTATGTTTCTGGTAGCTTCCCGACTCTCACTTTTGGTTGCAGCCAGGTTGTGTTACCAACTTACATCTCTTATGCTGTCCATTATGCACTTTGATCTTGTCCTACCCTGTTTTCCTCCTCACTAAGTATCTTACTTTAAACTAACATGTCAGTTTTGGTTTTTTTTTTTATTTTTCCCTTTTGTCTTCCCTTCTTCCCCAACTTCCCCATACAGGACCTAAGGCAACATAAAGATCTTAAATTCTCAAACCAAGTCTTTGCTTGTAATAATTCTTACTGAGATATTGTCAATGAATAGAACTACTAGATTTTTAATAATGAGATACAAAGTGAAACCTGATACCTTTGTCACTTTTACATGATGAGAACAACCTGTTAGTTGTGATAAAGAGTATGGAAATAGGCCATTTTTCTGAAGCCCAAAGGAAGTCTTTAAATATGCATCAGTTCTGTGCTGCAGTTCTTCTTGTCCTCAAACTGCTTTGCTTTACCAAAAATCTGGGGTGTGTTTGGGGGTATGCAGGAAGGCTTAAAAAACAAAAACAGTCCAATTCACTGATAACCAACAACCACAAGTGTTGCAGAGTAACTTTTACTGAATAATGTCCCGAGTAAATTGAGTAAACTTTTGCTGTGATATGATGATACTGATTTCCTAATAATAATAGATACTATAAAAAATAATTCTGATGCCTCTTTACAGGTGCTGTTGTACTCGAAATTTCATGCTTTTCTGAAGCTGAAAGAATATATATGCTAGTTAAAGATACAACTGTTAATGACAAGCCTCTGAATGCCGTGGTGATTCCTGAAGTTATGGTAAGAGATGGGTTTGACTTTAAAGTATGTCTTTAAAAGAGAAACAATTACCTTAAGACTTTTTCTGCTGCAAGTAAATGAAAATACATTTTTATTCAAAGGAGCCATACAGTGAGTTTCTGTAAGTAGTGTGATAAAAAAAATGCTTGAGAAGCCTGTACTTAATGTATATTATATACTTCTGTGAATTAAGTGACTTGTCCTGTTACTATTGAGTTGTCAGGAATAACTATACAACTATAAAAGGGAGAAAAACAAATTTTTTTTTCCTCTTTATTTCTTTCAATGATCAAAAAATTAGGTGGGGTTTTAGTTTTAGCTGGCGTGTCTTAAAATGCTTACAACAACTTTGTTTTGGGGACGAAATGTGTTTCCTCACTAACCGTGAGGTAAAGTACTACTGTTAATCTTCACATTTACAGTAAGTTCATTTCTCCCATTCTGCAGCAGAGAGAGTTTGACCGTGTTTAAATGCTGCTTTGTAGATTTCAGAGGAAAACAGCCTTTTGAAAGACTTAGTGCAAGAGTCCTTTCACAAATTTGGGCTTGATTCTGAATTATTAATTTTTATGGTAACAAATCACTCTCCTGTTAATCAGTTGGTTTAATAATAGGTTTCATGTTAACAAAGCAAATTCAGGGTGAAAAGAGGGAAATGGTTCACTGAGCAAAGCGATTTTTAACCAGGATGATGTACGTTCTGTCCAAAAGAGAGTGTAGCTGTAGTTACTTTCTGCTGAGCTGCTGTGTATCTTGCAGTTACTGTCTGTCTGGAGTTACGTTATGGCAAGTGAAGTTACGGTCTTGGTTTGACCTCTTAGAACTTCACAGAAGGCTGAAAACTTTAAAAAATACATAATTAGTGGGAACTATGAAACAACTTTAGATGGGAGGGTCTCAAGTTCAATAGCCTTAGTTGCATACTTACATGCCTGCTTTTATCATTTAGAGAGTCCTACGCTTGTCATAGTTTTCTGAAGGCAAAATTATTTTTTTATGTGAGCAGATACTAGTGGCAGTGCTTACATGAAACTGGCAAGATCAAAAACTATCCCCCCTCCAAAAAAAGTGAGAACCTTGTTCTTATGCCTGCACAGGCATCATGTTTTGTGAGATCCTTAGAAACCACAGTCCCCCCTCGTCCAAACTAGGTTTCAGAGTGTTATCAGAAACAGAAGGCAGCATGAAGATGGGACTGCTTTTGGATGCTTGTTTTCCATGGTTTTTAGGCAAATGCATTATGAGGTAGATTTGGTGCACAGTGTGTGAAGTTGAACATACTCCACCCTGTTGATTATGTGTGTCTGGTTTTCTGACACTAGATGTGTTTGAAGTGAACTTCTTGATGCCAGGAAACTACGGATAATGCTATCTGTTATCTGATGCAAGATATTTTTTAGAAACTCCAGTTCAGGGGACTGGTAGGGATTAATTTCTATTATGTAAGAAGGAGAGAGGGGCTGTACATGTGCACATACATTTTGTTTCCATTTCAGCATGTATTGTTTATATTTGGTCATCTCACTGAAATGAGCCAAGAGTTAATCTAAATAATATTTCAAGTGTTGCTCATATGTGCTTTGGCCACCCAGCTTACGCTGTTCACTAATTACCCAGAGTAAACTAATGAGTGAGTGGTGACCCTGCTTTGGGTTGCAATTGGACTAGATGACCTCCTGGGGTACTTTCCAACCTAGATTATCCTTTTATCTTATGATACTATTAGCCTTTGTTTATACTTTATGTATGTGACCATTTAAACACAGCACCAGGAAATACTTACACAGGAACTGAGCACAATATTAAATTTATGCTGTGTTTGACATTCCTCTTGTGGGTGAAATACAAAGGAATTGGGAATGAAGGGCTAATGTGTAGTCTCAGAAGAATGGGTGATGAAACAAAGGCCACAGTATTTTGGTTAATGAATGATTTTTCCAAATTGCAACTTAAATAAAAGAACAAACAAACAAAACAGCCCTTCCTAAAAGTCGATAAAAGCACAGAAGTAAATTGGTGGTTAGGAGGTTGCTAGTCCTTCATTTTCCTGAGGTGAAATTCGCTTACTCTGTGTCTGATACACCTTCTAAGGAGGAGGCCCAATTCTAGTCTGGCATGGTCAGGTCTGCCAGAAGCAATTCATCCTCTTATTATCATTACTGAAAAGTTTGAATGAAGAATCAGTTTGCACCAAATGCTTATTAGAAAGTCAACCAATTAGTGTGATCAGATGTGTTGATCTATTCTGGTGTTTCATGATCTCTGGGCTTTAAGAATTTAATCAAGCACTTTTTCATTTCCCAATATTCAAATAAATGAAAATGCCCTCTTTGCTGGACTGTGAAAAAAATAGTCATTTACAAAGCTGTTCAGCTGCTGTGTGTAAGGACCTGCAGGGGCAGTTTGGTATCACTCTTTGGTAGCATGTCAAGGTGAAAGACATTGCAGGGCTGAATCTTTGAACTGAAAGCTAATTTACCAGAACTCTTTTTGCAATACTGGCAAACGAGGAAATCAGCAGAGAGTTGTGTAAGGCAAGTATCAGCACGAAGGTGACAAGTTTTTGTGGCTTTATCACTAATGCCACTTACCAGTGGAGTGCCCTGTGACGTACTCTATTTAGGTTCCTTAAGAGTAGAAGAAAAAGATGCGGGAGTTTTCCAAATGGGTGAAACTTTCTATTTCATTCATTCCACTAATTCCTCGCACAAATGTGTCCAACTTAAAAGCATGATAGTTTAATGGCCCTCTTAGCCAAAACACCATGAAAGGTTACTTTCCACCCGTCTTCCACTGCCACAATTCCCCAAAAAGTAAAGAAAAGGCTTGAGCTCCTGCTGTGTTGATCTAGCTGCTGCTCTGGTTGCGTTGAGACACCTTGCACATCATTCCTCATCAGATGCAATGACTTCTTTCTGGCCAGGGTGGAGGAAGTTTGTGCTCGGGGCATCCTGAGTCCTTGCACATGGGAGATGCTGCAGACAGCCCGCCTGCAAATGCTGAATTTCACTTTTCACTTAGAGATATCTGCAGTTCCTGGAGACAGCCCACCACAGCAGAAGATGCACTGTGGTTGTCATGCTGGCAAGCTTGTGGCACAGAATGCCTTGTTCTGCTTCATCGTGAGATGTGATTACATGGTACACTCAACAGAAAGGGGATTAGCGTGGGTAATAAATATCTTGCCCCAGCCTGAAGCTGCATTGTGCTAATCCTGAAAAATTAAGCAATTCACAGTAAATGTCAGTGTCTAAATCACATAGCCTCCTTCAGCTGTCTCTAAGAAATGAGCAATAAATTCCTTCCTGAATGCCAGCCAACACAAAACCCCTCTGCAGATTTCACTCCTCAAGCAGAGCACTGAAGCCAGGGCTAAAGGGGGAAGGGAGTCCTCAGGCTGTGAGTCACATCCCCTTCTGCCCAGTAACAAACTCATTCGTACATCCCCACTGGGGCTTTATTAAGGGATTAAAAAAAGTTCTGCAGCGTAACAGTGCTACCCTTGTGGCCATAATCGTAACGGAGCATGTACTTTTCAGAAAGCGATGCAGCAGCCCTGCTCTCCTATACAAACTGTCATGGAGTTTTTAACCCCTACTAAAAAATAACTGCTTTTTTAGAAGCTGGCCTTTATCTAGGGATATAGCAGTGTTTCTTACTCCTTTAAATTTAATAAAGAATGATGGGTAGCAAACAAACTGTAAGGCTAAGCACTTTCTAGAATACTTCTTTTTATCCTACATAGGTGCGTTTAGTCCTAAATAGGTATAGTTAGGGATTTACATTAGAAGATACTTGAACAAAGATGATTTTGAGTGGTAAGACTGCTCAGTTTACACTACATACAGATATTTTGTTGGCTCCAGGCATTCTCCACAGCTGCTTGTGAGTCTTAGTAGCATTCAGGGTAAATGTTTCACTTTTTTTTTTTTTTGGTGTACAATATTGACACTTGACAATTAGGAAATTTAGGTGACAGTTTTGTAGAAATTGTAAATACGTATTTGCAACAATATATATTTACTTGGGTAAGATCTCAGACCACTTTCCAAGACGCAGCTGTGCTTTTTTGAATGCCTTGGAGCTTACCACGTCTCAAAAATCATTGCGATTCCCTGAAGTTCCTTGTGAATTGTTTTAGTTACTTGGTTTTAAACCCAGTGTGTTAGAACTTGCTGTAAAAGCAAGTAATACAAAACATGTGTTCAACATGTCACTTCTAAATGTCCAAAACCAGTATTTTTAGAAACTGATTTCCTGAAGAGGGAGAAGGTAATCAAATGTTCTTGTCCACATTCAAGTAAGGTGTTTGTTTGACTTGAATGTTGGGCTGGTTTCTTTTCTCTCATTCTTTTTTGAAAAAGTTTTTGTTTACTTCAAGCTGCAGAACTGAACATTTTTTCTTTCTGTTATCCCCTTACCCCCCTTTTTTTAATCCCAGAAGTTTCCGGGCGTTGGACCAAGCCTGAGGTTTCATATAGCCTGCATTGTTCAGAAAGTTGAAATGACTGGAGATTAAATTTAGGTAGTAAAAAAGCTTTGAAGAAGAAGAAATGGGAAGTGGTCAGGTGGGAAGCTAGGGCAGAGTAGAAGCTGGAACAAGCAGTGCAGGAAGGGAACAGTTTGCCCTGTTACCCCATGGGATGTGGCGTTTCCTTTCAGAGCTGCTCTGCCTTTCGTTGCTTGTGGGATTTTCAAAGGACCATTCATAATGGGATATGGCAGATGATGGTGCAGGAACTGATGGAGTAACAAGAAGGGCTTTACTTCTGGAAAAGCCAGAGCTCTGCTTACTATTTTTATTAATGCCTGTGATGGCTTGAGAGGAGGAAACCAACTTCTCTTGTTGGGACGTGTGGATCCTTGAGCTATTGACCTTACAACTCAAGAAGTCCTTCCTTTTTGTGACAGTGGCATACATTGTTTTCCTTAGGCTTCCTTTGCTGGCTACAAATATCCTTTCCATGTGCTTAACAGAAATAAATGTATTACCCTTGTTGTGTGTTGGGCATGCTTTGAATAATTGCTTCCCCTTTTCCAATAAAGCCTGAATATGGAGGCGAGAGGTGTTTTGACCTAGCAGTGATCACAGTATAGTGTGAAGGTGGTTCCTCTGGAGAAAGCTGTGTGGACAGCTTTGCAGCCTACGTCTTGCCAACCTAGTTGTTTTGCCAGCAGTGAAACCCTTGCAGTAAAACAAAATTTTGAGGCTCTTGTGGCTCTTTGTCAGCCAAAATAGCCCTTGTTTGACTAGGGTTTTTTTGAGAAAACATATGTATTTTCAAACTGAATGTCTGTGGTAGAATCTAAAGGACGAGGAAGGGAGGGGCAAGAGAAGTGTGTGCCAGCTCCACCAACCTTCTTACCTGCTTAGTGTTCCTCTTCCCGGTGTGTTTTCTGTTTGTGCCTGCGAGTCACACTGGATGGCAGAGGGCATTTCTCACGCAGGCAGTGACACAGAGGAGAATGATTTTTATGTGTTTGTGGATATCTTGACACATCTGGCAGGGTGTGACTTGCAGAGGATTAGCACCCAGCTCTTTTAGGAAAGCAAAATTTGAGGAAATCTGTCACATACTGGGAAACCCCAAATGATGTTTGTTTTTAAGCCTCCAAATCAACTCACAGGTAGACAATGGTCTGGGTATCTCAACATCAGACTCCAGTTTGCTTCCCCACGAAGTTACTCATTAATTTGTCCTGATTTCTCCATTCTTTACCTTAGTTCACGCTCTCTGGTGGTCGCTCATAGGCAGCAGCCGAGAGGCTCTCTGGGTGCTGCCACCTCCCCTCTGTAGCTGTTGGTATCTCTCTGCATGTTTGCACGCTGCGGTCATGCTGCTGCCTCACCGCCCCCTGAATCATTCTTGTCTAAATTGACTTATATTTAGCACTGTTGTTCTGTTCCCTGAATCCATCCTGTCAGCTGCGTGACAAATTGCCGTTCCCTGAATGCTGTCCAATTTGTAAATACAAATTACCACGACTTACGGACCACGGCAAACGTTTCTGTTTTGAAGCACGCTTGTTGAAATGCCCGACGGACATTTCTGGCGCATACCTGCCCCACAGCCCCGTGGCAGGACAGATGAAAGGTGTGCTGGTGTTTTCTGATCTTTCTAAAACCATTTACAGATTGTTTTATGGAATGATTTATGGGCTGGCTGGCTGAAAACAGGTCCTGAGGGGGTGCTTCTGGTGGCTGGAAGTTTTGACCTCCGATGAGGCTGCAGGTACCGATCCCGTGCAGGCGTGGAGTACCCCAGGAAGTCCCCCCTCGGCCATGTGCAGTGGCTTCCTGTGGAGGGGTTTCCAGCAGCACGGGCACGGCTGTGCTTTGAGAGCCCTTTCAGCAGCAGCTTCAGTAGAGGCGTGAGGATCGAAAGATGCTGGCACCAAATCCTCCTGATAAAAAATTTTAAATACATATTTTTAAAAGAAGCTTTCAGCCTCTTATTTCATGGGGAGGGGCATGCCAGTGTCTGCCTCGTTTTGAAATGTTTTGTCCTTATAAATTAACATGTATTCTAAGGTGACCACAAAACTTAAGGCAAATGTTTCAATTGTTTTTGGGAGAAGTTCTCTCTTTGCAAGGAAAGTGTTTGAATTGTACATGACTCTGGAGGGTGACTTATCCATCACACTGTTCTTTGGCATAGACTATTTACGGAAAATGTATGGGAAGGACTGCTTACGGTGCCTTTGTTTTTAACGTTAGGCTCACCTGTGTAGTTGGAGTGGGTTAAGGAAACTTCAGTTCCCAGAAAAACAAGATCAGCAGCTAACCTGTCCATTGTCTGGACATCAAATCTTTTTATTTATCAAATCTGGATTTTTTAACTAAGCATCAAGGAAGCATCAGGAAATACTTCTGAGATGGAGTAGTAATTTTCTTGCCTGTTGGCTAATCTTTTTTCTTGTCTTCTTTCAGGCTTCCAAGATACCACAGAACTGCTGCCCACTTCTTGTATTTGTGAATCCAAAAAGTGGTGGTCTGAAAGGCCGGGATCTGCTGTACAGTTTTAGAAAGCTGCTAAACCCACATCAGGTCTTTGAACTTACCAATGGTGGCCCACTGCCTGGGTAAGTCATCATATTTTAAAATTTTTTTTATTTATGTTTTTTTGTTATTTTTTTGAAAGGATGGATCGGATTCACTTGTTATGAAGATCAAAATTGCTTCTGTTCTGTGCTTGAAGACCAGAACAGTGGATCACTCCTTCTGACTGGTTCTCCGTGTGAAAACAGATTTAAATTTTGAGGTTCTCTAAAGATAAGAGAATAGAGTAGTTCCTGACGCATATATGCTCACGTCAAGTCTAATAGAGTCCAGTCCTGGGAAAGTCATATGCACTTTACAATAACACGGATTTAATAATTATTAAAAATAAAAAGATTTTATAATTGAATGGGGATGGAAAGAGAAATGTCACATTGCCCGATGAGGGCTAGTTTTTGCTTTTGTTTCCTCTGATGTTTCATGGGAACTAACAGGAAAGTACAATAAAATTTTCTATCTTGACTCTTGAAACTTGGCCACAGTTGCAGAATTAACAGGGCCTGCCTGATCACAGCTGCAGCATTTCTAAATACAAGGAACAGAACATAATGTGCTTGTAGGGAGGCAGGAACCAATTACTTGATTTAATCAACACCACTTTGTTACCAGCTTCATAAAACTGAAAGTGATGGTTGTAGCCTACTCAGAGTAGCCTTATTCCTTCAGCATTGCTTTTAATAAAGAACTGTCATGACAAGCTCTTCAAAACAAAAGCTTTCTTGGGAGAAACACAGCTTATGCAGGAGGCAAGAAAAACAAGCTGCGCAAACTAAGTTTTTTGTCAGAACTGTATAATTCTGTTGCCTTTCTAATGCAGTTCAAACTGCAACTTCAGTAATTTGTTCATTGCTTCTTATGCAACGGGAAATAAAAATTCCTTTGCAGGATATCTCGGTATGTAGGATGAAAAGCCACAAAAGGTAAGAGCGACCAGGAAAATAGTACTATGAGGAAGAAAATGTACTATGAGTCCTATGACTAAGTAAAAAAAAAACACCATTAATTAACATCTCCACTAGGATTTAGAGAGTTATAGATGTTCACATTGAAATTGTGAATAGTTAGATCTCTGTGTCTTTGGTGAAAAAGGAAGAGATTAACAGTTTAACTCTAGCTTTGAAGAATCTTAGAAGAATGTGGTTTTCATTCTTTTTAAACAGCTTTATCTAAAAGTTCGTATTTTTTCTATTCACTTTGTTGAAGTTGATCCTGAAACTGATGGTAACGGTAGTGGGGTGGGAGAAAAGCCAATAATAATGTGTTATCTTAGATAGCATATTAAGAGGCTTTGCTTTTCCTGTACTACATTGTAATATTTCTTTTCCCCTTTGCTTTGTTTCTCAATGGAGGTTTCACACGTTCTCTAAAGTCCCCTCCTTCCGAGTGCTGGTGTGCGGAGGGGATGGCACCGTCGGCTGGGTCCTTGGTGCACTGGAGGAGATTAGGCACAAGCTGGTGTGCTCAGAGCCCTCAGTTGCCATCTTACCTTTAGGAACAGGTGAGAATCACAGCGAGCACTGTTCTTCTGAGGGCAGAAGTCCTCCAGAAGGTTTATCTTTATTTATCCATCTGACAAACAACTCAGTTTTGAAGAGATGCCGTGACTCAGTTCTGGCCAGTGTTAGAGAGCAAATGCAATATCAGCTTTTCAAGGAAATGTCAATCATGCTTTCTGAAGGAAAAATGAGCAGCAGAGGTGTTGGTATGGGTGTGTCTGAGTGGGCAGGAGTTGGAGAAGGCACAATATTCTTCCCCTGACAACCACAGGTGCATCAGCCCTTGCTGTAAACCAGTGAACTCAGCTGCTCCCTGACTTCTCAACTCATAACAGGTTTTTCTATCACTTTTTATGAAAACTTTTCAGATGAGACAGCTTACCTGTATATGGTACTAAGCACACATGCAACCACAACAATGCTTAGATATTTTTTCTGCTTGTTAACTTCTCAGTCAATCTAACTACTTCCATGACTTGTTTGGAGTACCTTGATGCAATTTGATTTGTAGAACAGGGCTGGTGCACTTTTTGACGCTTTTAGCTAACTTATGAAATGCAGTCATATTTTGAGGTTCTTCATTGTTGCCCAGGTAATGACTTAGGAAGGGTCTTGCGCTGGGGAGCTGGGTACAGTGGGGAGGACCCCTACTCGATTTTGGTTTCCGTGGATGAGGCAGACGATGTTCTTATGGATCGCTGGACTATCCTTTTGGATGCAGAAGAGCCAGCTGAAGGCGCGGAGAATGGCATTGCAGAACCTGAGCCTCCAAAGGTGAGCTGAGTACCGTTTGGGTTCGATTCTTAGGAACTCTTGTTCTAGTGAAAATCACAAAAAAGGTAGATATTAAGGCAGTTTAATCTTTTATTGCTCACCTATCTTTGAGCTTGGGCCTTACTGCGCTATTCCTTAGTGAACTCAGCATACATGCTTCGGTTTTGGTAGGACTGGTTGGCTGCAGAATACACTTCGTAGCTGTTCGGCAAAAAGTATCTGATAGAGGATTAATGAAAAGATTCAAGTGACAATGGCATTTGCTTCAGTTGGAAAGAAATTTATTTCTCAAATAAGAAAAGCTTTTTGAAGGAGTGCCAAACACTTTCCAGAACACTAGTGAAACTGGAGCGTTGACCGAAAAACAACCCCCTTGCAAAAAAAGTGTTCTCATCTTCCCTTTAAGAGTTTAAAAAATTACTATGAGTTGCTAGCATATACAGGAAATAAATCCGTCTGTCATCTTACTGCCATTGCGTGTCTGTATATGTGGCATCTGTTTTATTTTGGCATCTGTTTTATTTTTTTGGAGTGAAAGTCCCTGTCTCTTGGTTCGTATTACTTGTTTCTGTTTAGGAAAAGAAAAATGTTAGTTGTAGATGGTGACTTCAGAGCTTTGTGTGAATCCTGATTCTGTTTATCTTCAGACGAAACAAAGAAATTGGACAAGGGGGTCGCAAAAAGAAAGCAGGAAATTGTAATAATGGTAGCAATTGTCTAAGATTTTAGACCAGTCACTGGAAAATCCTAGGCATTATGTGTCAATTGGAGGATTTAATTGCTCACGTTCCAGCTATTTTTCACTTGGTGGAGACAGGGGTTGATTTGCCTTGAGTGCCTAATTTGCTTTTTAAAGGTGAAGGGTGGGATAGTCAAGGACTAGAATAGAAAAGCTATGGAATGAACTGGCATGAAAGGAAGAATTAATTGCAGAAATGGTTGAAATCTGTAGAAACTTGAGACTGGTATATAGGGAGCTATTTAAAATGCAGCTGAGAGGTGAAGTTCTTCACTCATCTGGCTATTTGCCTTGAGTGCCTAATTTGCTTTTTAAAGGTGAAGGGTGGGATAGTCAAGGACTAGAATAGAAAAGCTATGGAATGAACTGGCATGAAAGGAAGAATTAATTGCAGAAATGGTTGAAATCTGTAGAAACTTGAGACTGGTATATAGGGAGCTATTTAAAATGCAGCTGAGAGGTGAAGTTCTTCACTCATCTGGCTTCAGCTTTTTTTAAGAGCGTCTTCCCAAAGATGTCATGATAAATCCATGGCTGATGCCAAAAATAATAGTGGCATTAGTGTTCAGCAACTTGTGTAGTTATTGCATAAAATCACTTTGAGAAGTTGGGTTAGTTTTATTTCTGTATTTGTTTTTATTTCTGCCTTATAATGCTTACTTGCAATTAAGATTAAATTTTGAAGTTTCTGATACTTTGGAAATAATGACCACACATGTCAACAATTGTCCGTACAGCTTTATTTTTAGTGCAGTGTTTCTGGAAAATGTTTTCCAGAATCTGTCAAGATGCAAGTGACATCTGCAAAGCTTACTTTTGTTGAAAAACTTTGGAACCTCTTAATTTATAAATGTAAGGAGGAAATAATACAATTTTTTTTGTCAGATTGTACAGATGAACAATTACTGTGGTCTTGGCATTGACGCAGAGTTGAGCTTGGACTTTCATCATGCTAGAGAAGAAGAACCAGGGAAATTTAATAGCAGGTAATCCTGGGGAAACCAGGGGTGAAGGGCAAACTCTGTGATACTGCTTAACTTCAGACTTACACCATGGCTGATAATCTTGAAATGCTGCAGCTATCCACAAACAATATTGCTTGAGGCAGAGCTGGCACAGGGAGGAATTAAGTTAGCCAGGAACTGGTAGACACAAAATTCGGGGGTGTTGTTTGGTTTTCCCTTTTTGTTTCTCCCTGCCCCTTTACCAAGAGAGAGCACCAAAGCAGTTTTTGGAAGGCCTGTCATTATTATTCAGTATACTTACTTGCCAATAACTGCATGTTGAGTTCAGTGAAATTTTGAGGTAGTGGAAATATCTCTTATTCAAAGACTTTAGCAGGAGGGAGGGCAGTGCTGCTATGTGAGCAATAGACACACTGTTCAGAACTTCTTTGTACCTTTCCCACCCTTGCTTAGTGCTGTGGTAGCACCTGCGAGCTGGTAATAGGGATAAAAAAAGATCTCTGTATCTCAAGTGAGACTGTGTGATTAAAAAGGTGTGGAGAGAGACCTTCTTCCTTTCTAGCATGCAGATAATCAATAATAATGCTTTTTCTTCTTCCCATAATCACTGAAATTGATGAGAAAAAGAAGTCACATTTGTGTAATTAATGAGTAATTCCTTGTAGAAACTCTTTTTGTCGGCTTTCCCCTATATTTGTGAGTAAATGTTCTCTAAATTGTCTCTTAGTTGCCAGAAAGTTACAGCTAGTTATAACTATGCAATATTCAAATCCTAACTATTAAAAATATTCTCTGACCGATTATGAGTATAATGATGTGTAATCCCACCTATCTTGCAGTGTTCTGTCTATCATTACAGGCATTGCTCATGTTTTTTTCTCAAAAATGAAATAATACAGGATATTTTTTGTGGTACATAAGTTACTATTAGGCACCGATTTGCATTTTCAATCCACTGGATTAAAAACATCATAGGTAGTAAAATCGGGCAATACGTTTGCATATAGCAGTGCCTGTTCTGGTGTATAAAACTGTTCTAGATTTACTTGTATAATTAATATAATGTAAGAGTTATGTTCATTCTTCCTTTAAAATATACTACTCTGACTTCACAAAGCTGCAGCACTTTAAAAGATGTGTACTTTTCTTATTGCCACTGTATTTAAGGGTTATACTTCGACTTTTATTGCCCTGTGTGCTTTTTGTCCCTTGAATCTTTGTCTCAGTCAGTTCACAGTGTGCAGCACCTGCAGTGCACTGGGCAATGACGTGGTACCGTTCCTGCAGACCTTTTACATGCATATTTGGACACCATGCAAGCAGCATGCCTTGAAGGGCGTGTGGGAAAGAAAAGACGATTTTTTTTTTTTTTTTTTTTTTTTTTTTTAAATCTGAACGGTTTTATATTTCTGTGATTCAAGATCTGGAAAAGAAACATGAAGTAACGAATCAATACTGAGGTACAGTTTTTCAGGAGACAAACAGCTTGTGCAGGCTGACAGTGCTGACACATAATTATTGCCTTTCACTGCCTGTGACAATGATTGTTAAAACTGCTGGCTTTACCCTTTCCTAGGATATGCAAGTGCACACTCTTGCCAGCAAGATTAGCATTTTTTAAATTATTTTCAATAAATTAACTAAGAAGGGTGGCTACTTAATGCCAGATGCAACAGCTGCTGGCGTGTGAACTGGCTGCTCTTGAGTGCAGAACAGGAAGTTTCAGGCTGTGGCAACAGAAATTGCAGGTAGTCCTTGGAACAAAAATGGGCTTGAGTGCTCTTCTGGATCAAGTCCTTAAGCTGGTAAATGTCCTGAAAGCTGTGTGCTCTCTGGCCTCATGCTGTGGAGTCTCTTTATATGCTCAGGACTCCTTACCTTTGGCTAGCAGCTCACAGTGTAGTGATGACTTCCCTGCAGGGAATTTAGTGCTGAACTTGCATCTCAGGGCAGTAGAAATAGTATATGTTCTGGCAGTGATGGTTTTTACGTTGTTGAGTGCCAAGCTATGTGAGTTTTTTTAAGTGTAAAACTTAAGGATCAGGGCATCTGCCTTCATTCCCCCATTCCCATGGGATCCTGGCGCAGTCTTTAGGGTTGCCTATTACAAAAGAGAACACATCTTGTTTGTGCCACCTAAAATTGGGAGGAGACTGCTGTGGCAGGCAGTCTCCTGGATGTAAGGTTAGGCAGAGAGAATATTCGGCACGATTTAATGCGAATTTAGAATTGTTTTACAAAGATACAGAACTGTTCTGTCTCTTGGTGGGGGGAAAGTTTGAAAGTATTGGTTATTTGATTTTTCAGTTGTGGGTTTTAAAATTCTACAATGGCTACTGTCTAACTCTTTTTTTTCCATCTTGTGTCCTCTATATGTGAACCTGGTAAAGCTCTTTCCCAGTGAATAAGATCACCCTAATAAAAGCACCCAAACGGATGCTAATTATTGGTCAGAGCTCTTAGCTTTTGCAGTGGTGATTTCCCACCCAGTGGTGGGTTTGTTGAATTGCAGGACTAGATAAAAGGCGATCATTTTGTTTTGCTTGATAGCTTTCCGTGCTGTGTGCTGCAGTTCTGAGAGGTTTGCTTCTGAGAGATGTTTATTAGTGCTCCAGGGAAATTGCAGTTGAAGGCCTGGCACACAGATTTCTTATCCATCACCTTTAAAAAAAGAGTTCCCCAAACCTACCCTTCTGGGTGTGCAGCAGTTGGCAGGAGCTCTGAAAAGTCTGGCTTTCGGCATCAGCTCACTTCGTTTCTTCATGACTCTTGAGAACTGGCTTCTTTATTTTGTTTTCATGAAAGCTTGGAAAGCAGTTACTGATGGTCTTGCTTCCTCTGGCCATCAGAGGTGCTTGCTTCTTGGGCAACAACCACAGAGGTGATTAAACTAACAGTGTAAGTTGATGCTATGGTGTCTCCCTGAGTCTATGGAGACTTGTTCATGGGACTTTTTAAGAGTAAAGGGAGTTTTTCAGTTTGCTCTATCAAGGATAAATACAGGATTGCAATATTTAAAAAACACTTGTTTACTTTCATAATCCATGCAACTGGTCCTATATGGGATCACCTTTTAACTTTATCTATTCCGAGATACTCAATTAGCTAAACTGAAGAATCAGTCCAACCTTCTGAATGTCCCTCAGGAAGGGTGTATGTAGCTTTATGGGTGTAGCCAGTGGGGCATCAGGTAGTGTGTGAATGTTGGCTATAATTGTAGTGCATCTTTTGTAGAAAAACAAACCAAAGGGTGATTCCTGAGCTGTGTAGGTCAAATCCCCGAACTCATCTGAGCAGTAGGATGTTAATTCCATATTTGTACTCTAGAGAGCCTTCCAAATAGTTCTGGGATGACATCATGATGCAATGTTGCAGGCAACCTGATGCAAGGACTCACTGGCTCCATGGGGATGGATGAGCTGCATGTAATGCCCTGCCCTCCCCTCTCATCCCCATCAGTGTCATTTACAGCAGTGACTGCAATTGTGGGTCTCACCTGATGCAAACCTTGATTTCCTTCAGCACAAATAAGGTGTTGGAGACTGCTCCAAGGACAACTTCCTCCTTCCTGCCTTGCTAATTAAATGTGGTGAAACTACTGTCTGCAAAATATATCTAACCAAGGGTTTGCTTTAGGAGATGCTTATTCTTTCTACCCAAGTGGGCAAGCTAGTACGCTATTGGCTACTGCTAGCAGTAGACTGACAACTTCCACTGTCACTTTCTCCCCAGACTATGTCCCACATGTAGATGTGCAAAGAAGGGTGGTGATTCTCTCTAGCGGTTGATGTGCAAAGATCACCCTTCCAAGCTTGGCTGGCCGTTTTAATCATAAAATCTTTCAGTCACCTTCAAAACCATTGGGTAGGAGTTGGCGTAGTAACATTAGAGAAATCAGTTTGTTCATTCTTGTTTGGTCTCAATGTCCTAATAAGATACATAACTGGAATGGAATATGTATGCAAGAATGGAGTGATAGGATTTAACCTCTGACAGATTTACCCTTTGTTGTGTGTCATGGGGTGCTGTATCCAATGTCTCTGGATCCTGTGGACCTCAGTGGTCCGTAAGTGTTTCTTAGAGTCATGTAATTCAGGACTGTGTCTGCAGTTATGGCACTGTGTCGTATTCTTTCAGTTTCTGTAGGCTTCCTTCTTCATGCAACAAAAATTAATATTTTGGAGGGACATTTACAGTATTGTGTTTCTTACCGATATTCCGTTATTTTTCAATTGTATCCAAATTAGACAAAATCTGTCTTAGCATAGACGCATCTTACTGTCTTGTCTGGAGTGGAAGCATATGTTAAGCATATGTTAAATGGTGTTACATCAGCTACCTTTAATTCGGTGCTGTTATAAACTGTTAGCATGTAGGACTAATCATTCCAGTGTAATAATTTAAAAGAACTGAACAGTCTCTGTCTGAAGAATTGACTATAACCCACATGCTAAATTGGCTGTTTTCCCCACTTGAATGTCTACAGCATTTAGACATAATGCTAGAGAGATTTTGCAGAGTTGGATTCCAATGACACCCCTGTGCTAGTAGGGTCAAACAATGGAAGTTTATGCTTTTTATTTTAAGGTTGCCCTGAAAGCCATGTATCCAAAGATTTCCATTATAGAAGAAAATACTGTGTGTGTTTAACTAACATTTGTTTATGTTATTCTTAAAATATTTTGACATTTCTAGGGATGCCATAGAATCTTCCTCATCTTTTTTTACTCTAAAATTAGAGATGTTAGAGCTCTGTCACAGGTTAACATTACTAAACGTGTTTTAAGTTTCTACAGCTGAGTATATTTCAGATGAATTAGTGACACATAAAGCAAAGACTCGCAAAGGTTTTTGTGCCTTAATTATTCTAGTATTGCATGAGAAAACATTTTTAAATGTTTCATGGAGACCTCTGTTAATGTACAATTTCCCAGCCTAGAAGTTTACATTTCAAACAAGCATTGCATTCAGACAATGCTTTAAGGAGGGATGATTTTTCTGTAATAAAATTTCAGATCTCCACATGCCTCAACAGCACAAATCATCCTGTAAGTAAAAGGTGTATAAAGTAGCAGTTTGTGGCTTATGCTTTGTTTCTGCAGTAAAGCTAGAAGAATTTGGAGAGAGTTTTAATTGAAAAACTCTTTAATTACCTGCTAGAGGACAATACTGGTGTACGTACGAGCAAGAGTGCTATGCTGGGCCTTACCTTTTAGTTACAGGATGCTTGTCTGCTCCTAGGTTTCACAACAAAGGAGTTTACGTGAAAGTTGGGCTGCAGAAGATAAGTCATACCAGAAATCTTCACAAAGACATAAAGCTTCAAGTGGACCAGCACGAGGTGGAGTTACCAAGTATAGAAGGACTCATTTTTATTAATATACCCAGGTAAAAAGCAGAGGAAGGATCCTGTGTGGATGCATGTCTGGCTGTATGTGTGGAAGTGCTGCTTGGTATTTGAGCATCAAATGTCAAATTGTTAGATAAAATGTTAAATGGTCTGTATTAGTAGATGGTTGTTACTGCATATTTTTGATTATTGCCTGACTCGCTGGCTTTGCAACTGTGCCTAGGAGCTAGCTCTTAATACCATTTTGACATGATTTTTCTGATCCTTTGAAACTCAATATCTCACTCCACATGAAGGTGGTACTATCTTGTTCTCCCAGTGCAAGCCCCTGTACATTTGCTATTTCTTCTGTGTCCTAACAGTAATTTGGAATGATTTCCTCACCAAAGATCTTCAGACTTCTTTTGGAGCAGTTTTCTAGTAAACCATGACTTTTTAGGCATAGTTGTAGGCCTGTGGCTTCTGTCCACTACCATTTTCCCCCTCCCCCAAACTGTTTGAACAGTCCACCGGATTTCACCATGACTTGTAGAAGGATCAAAGATGATCAACTTGCACACACTTTATGGCATGCTAGAGACCAGGTTCCTAAGCAGTTCCTGCAGTGAAGGCCAGTAAGGATTCAACTGTCAAAACATTGTCCAGGTCCTGCAGCCAGCTGGTCAGTATATGTGGAGTTGGTGATGCCACCTGGGTAGCTGTGGAAAACCCACAGTTCAGGTGCCTTTCACGGGGTTGTGGGGGCTGCCCTGACACCTGCAGGGAGCTAAAGTTACTGCCGTGGAAGAAAGGAAGGCAAATCTGCAGGAAATCTGGCTTCCTTAGATGTGCTGTTGGTAGAGGCAGGTTTTTTGTTTGCACAAAACCAGCAGGTAATTAGTGCTGCCATACTATTTTTTTTCAAGTACACTCTTATCTCAAACTACCTGTATCTCTTTCCATTTTAGTCTGAAAATGTTTCAACTTTTTATTCAAATATATATATTTACATGTACACACACATATGTGCACATGCACATACACACAAGTATATGTTGCACATGAGAACAGTGGAGAAGAAAAGATCACGATTAGTACTGGGCAGTCAATGCACTGAAACAGTAAGCGAGTAATTTGAGTAAGGAGGGTCAATACTGCACAAAAAGCAACATGGTATTAAATTGTCAGAAGCATTTCAGAGGATTGAAGTGCAGGAATACCTGCTTAACTACAAGTGAGTTTGGCCAGCTACAAGAATAAAAACTTGATACTTGTTTTAGCTTTAGTTTCTCTTCAGTAGCTTGCATGAATATTGTCAAGACCAGTAAGATCTATGTTAAGTTCTTAAGTCTTGGAAGTTAAGGGTTAGTGTAGCTGTAACCTGTATTTCCCAGCAAACTAAAACTCTTTGGAGTTACTTTCTTCTTACCTAGTTTTTTTCTTTCACATGGAAACTACTTATTTCACTACTTCTTTCACTCTTGAAAGATCTGGTCAGGAGTCTTCCAAATTTTAGGAAAGCACTTCCTGCTTTTACAGTGCAAGAAAGCTGTGTTGTCTTCTCCAGCTGGTGGGGAGCAGGGTGTCTAGCTTTTGAAGTCTGGCAAACCAGCTGCTTCAGCAGGGTATCGGGCAGGGTGCTCTGTGGCAGACAGCAGGTCCACAGGCGGTCACTGCAGTGTGCTCTTTACACAGCTGGGGGTCCGGAGCCGATCTCTGGGGGTCTGAGAGTGATAACCGCTTTGAGAAACCACGCATCGATGATGGCCTGCTGGAAGTTGTTGGTGTGACTGGTGTTGTTCACATGGTAAGTTGGCATCCCAGTAAGAACAGAGGAAACATGTTTTCTCAGACTGGTTTATTTTTGTAACAAATAGTCCATTGCAAGTGCGTAGTCCTAGAAAGTATGCATCTATGTAAAGGTTATTATTCAGGTACTTGTCATGCAGAAATGGTTATAGACCATAAACAGAATTCATGGGCAGCGTCGGCTGTCTGTCAACAAAGCTTTTGGATGTCAGGAGCTTAGCTGCAGCTGGTATGCCTGTTCATGGACTGCAGTGCCCTCTCATTGCCTGTTTATTGGCCTGCCTTGAAGATCCATATTTAGGTGCCTGACTACGATAGATGGAACGGAAACTGAAGAAACCTGGGGTTGGATAAAAAGAAGTAATAGGAGTGTGTTAAAAGTGCATGGGGAAATGCTTCATGACTTAAGTGTGCTTTGAAACAAGCCAGATACATAATGTATATATATATGAAAGGCAAATATATATATGTATGTGTTACGGCATGCATTAGCTTTCTCGTAACAGGTATCGTGGTGTCAAAACCAGTTCATGGGACGAAAACAAGATTTTATTTTACTATTACAAAAACACCCACTCTTCACTTAGTGTATTTGCGAAAAATCTTGTCATACCGCATCACAATCAGGGCAGAGATTCCTTCTAGACAGGTGGCTTTATAATTATCTGCCACAGGCTTTCCAACACCTGTCTCTGAGAATCTGATGCTAGCTGCTCTTGATCCGAATGCTATGTGAAGCAGATAGTGTGCCAGTTTCTCAAAGAATATTATGGCCCAATTTGTGCAACTTTAATTCTTCCATGTATTACATATTTTTATGATGGCCTGCTATTAGCAACACAGTCCTGTGGGATGGAGGGTTATTTCTGTCTTTTCTTCATATTTCTTTTACTATCTTAAGAAATCTGCTGCTGAAAAAGTGTATGTGATCAGGTAACTAGAGACAACTAATCCATGCAACCACCAAAAATGGAAAGGTGTGTGCTTAAAATTGTTTGTGCAGCTCGATCTGTGGTGTTGGCCAACTTCACCATTTTGTAATTTAGATCTTTTAAGGAAGACAAATATAAAACATTCCATTAGAAGAAGTGGTTTGGTAGAGATCCTTAAAATTTTTGTGAAGTTAGAAGCAACAAGGAGTGTACCCATTGCTTTGAAATATAAATGTTAACAAACCCCTGCTCTGGTTTTGTGATCTTCTGTTAAGGTTTTTAGCCCTATGTTTGATGTGTGTACACATTCCCCAAGAGAATGTGTAGCAGCGAAGTTCACTTTGCTTCATTTTTTACAGTTAACACTCAGCCGTTAGTTGTAGTTGAGTGTATATATATATATGTATATGGAGTTGAGTTTGGCAAAACTTTCTCTCCCTGTTTGATAAAGTGCTTTTAGACTTTGAGTTTCACATGTGCCGAAGTCTGTGTGTATAGTTAGGTGTTTTTAAAATGTGTTTACTGTGTTATGGAAGGGGGGAAGTAAAAGCAAACAAGACCTTTGTGAGTATATGCTCCTTGGCCAACCTGAATGTACAAATGACTTCACTGTGTAAGTTATTTTGCCTCCTGCAGCCTGCAGGCCTGAGTTCTTCTTCATGCACTAACTTAAATAATTAATGCTGCGTCAGTAAAGGCATCCTATGCAGATTTTACCTAAGCAGTTCTTTTACTTGAAACTTACAATGTCAGAATAAAATTCCATCCACCCAGTTTAAGTAGTATTTGTGTTTCTTGTTTATTGTGATATCCTGACTTTTACTTCCTAACAGGGTCAAGTCCAAGGTGGTTTTCGATCAGGAATCCGCATAGCCCAAGGCTCATATTTTCGTGTAACACTCCTAAAGCCAATTCCAGTTCAAGTTGATGGAGAGCCCTGGATTCAGGCCCCTGGCCAGATTATTATTTCTGCTGCAGGACCAAAGGTACTGGCTGTAGCTTTGTCTTAGCAAGTTGACTTTGTTTCTCCAGTGGATATTACTGTATTTTCTTGCTTGTCAGTTGTGTTCTGATGCTTAACTTCAAAGGCACTAGTTGGCATGGAGTGGTAACTGTTGGATAAATACACAGCAGTTTCCACAGGGGATGGTTTGAGGGCCCTCTCCACTGGCTCAGGTGAGGCTTGTGTTTAAAAAAATAGTCTCTGAGCTTCAGCCTAGTGACTTAAATTTTTCCCGTCTTGAGATCTCCAGGCAGTGTTGCTTGCCCTGAAGCAGATCAGAGTTGTGAGGGCCATGGTAGTATTGCAGTGTGTGAGGTAGGAAGCAGTCTGCTGACAGCGCTGGAGAAGGGAAGGTCTGTCAGAGAACAGCAAAGGAGAAAACTGAATAATGGAGGAGGAGGGTCTGAGAAAAACAGACTTTGGAGTAATCAGTGTATATCTTTCCTTGATATCTCAATGTATATGTAGAAGGAAAAGAATATCAGCTACCTAAAGATTTAACTTCTCTATTGACACTGAAATTGTGAAATAAACATTTTGCTGTAGTTGACTCTGGTGCATACCAGTCTACACATTTGCCTGCTACCTTAAGGATGCCTTTTTAACTCACAGAAATTTGTTGCTACAGGCAATCTCAGAGAATATGTAGCCCTACCGGGAGGGCTGCCAGAACAATGGCCCTTGCAGAGGAAAAATGGGTGAAAAAGAGGGTCATACCTCAAATGTTTTGGAATATGTTAAACTTTGTTCTTTTCCTGAGAGAGAAGGGGGAAAAGAGAAAGAGAGAGAGAACAAACCTAACTTGTCCTTCCAGTGAGAAATATTTCTAACTTTCTTTCAGGTTAGTGACTAATAGTGTTTGTATCTGTATATATGTGTATGTATATGTGTGTACATGAATATATATGCACACACATACATATCCTTATACATCTATATACATATACGCACATGTGTATATATGTAAATTTATGTAAAAAAAGCAATTAACCCTGTAGGCTATAAGGATAGGTGCTTCAGATATTTGTTTATTTAAATGCTTTTCTGCTGCATTTTATTTGTTTATTAGTTAGTTGCCTTAGATCTGCTTATAGGTGACTACAGATATTTTAATACTCACTCACTTTCTTTTGAAACTTTCCATTTTAGGTCCGTATGTTGAAAAAATCCAAGCAGAAACAGAAGAAAACTGGAAGCCTGAGAGAGATGAGAGTGGATAGCATGTCAGTCTCTGAAGGAGGACGCTAAGTGGAGACCTCTGCTCGCAAGTGATGCAGCACACCTACTGTACATACCAAGATAGTTCAGAAAAACTGAGTGCAGACAACTAGTGAAGAGGGTTGCTTATGAGCGTGCCTTTCATTACATTTTGATAGTACTGGGTTCTACTTTGTCTTTCAAAGATAGTGCCTCATTGTTACAAATAACTATTATGTACTGCTTCTCTCGTCTGAAATGTTTACTTTGGGTTGCTTTTCCATAAGCCATTTCCCAGTTTTTCATGTATATAGAAACTGAGGCCAAACAGAGATTCCAAGATGCTGAGATCTCTGCAGCTACCTTCACAAAGACTCTTCCTCTCCTCCCAGCTTTTTCTTAAAGAAAATCATTCTATAGATAAATTTTGGTGCATTGTTCCATAGATGAAAATGTATTCCTTTAAATTAATGTTCACAGTAGCCTTCCAACCAAAAAAAGGCAAAGACATGAGCTGCTGAGAACTCCTTGGATCAGTCCAAATAGCACAGCTGAAACAGTACTACCATAAAGAGAAAAATACAAAACACAGGAGAGATGATTTCTATAAAAGGAGCTTTGTGCACTGGGAAAAGAGAAAGTACTAGAACAGTTGAGTCAAAATATTTCAGAGAGTTTACTTCAACAGTATTTGGACAGTATGAATGAAGGGGAAACAGCTTGTAGAGCAGGTTTTCAGCTGCAGCTTAGCTTCTCCTATATTATTCAGCCAAAGCCTGTTTTAAAAGGCATTTGAATTTCAGCAGCTACCACTCTAACGTAAAAAAGGAACAAGAATACCCGAGGCAGTATTACATTATACTGATTTTTTTCTATCATTGGAACCATTATCTTTGACACCAGACTTCTCTTCTTGTCTTTACTTGTACTGTTTCATTTTCATTAATCTGTCACAGTTGGACTATTATTTAACAGCAAGCTCAAAGACTAAAAGAATCATGACCAATTAGGGTAAAAGGAGTACCATTTAGTCTTCACTTAAGTAAATTAGCACAGTCACATGTTAGAGCTGAACTGAAGTACAGCATAGCTTCGCTGAGGAGCCTGTAGTGTGCATATGACATGCTGTAGGCTTCAAATAACTGGGAATGCGATAGCCGCCATGAAAACTCACTTACCTGGTCAGCCTTCTCAAGTCCTTGGTGGGTGTAGTTATCAGGTGTGGGCCCAGGGACACTGGCTGTCTTTTCTCACTTGGATGAGTGTGTGCTCTTCAGAGGCTGTTCCTCTGTCAGCTCCTGTGAGACCGAGATCACCTCTCTGTGCTTACCCATCTGCTGAAGATGCGGGGATCCAGTACTGCTTTAACAGCTTCCTGCTAGAGACTGGCACTGGAGCAGACGTTCTGGTCCTGTCATACACTACATACATCTGCTGTCCATGGCTGTAATCGTGTTGGTCTTCACTCACATCTTGGCTGGTCTCATCTCACTGTGGTTCTCCAGTGACTCAACCTTTCACTTCAGGTCAACATCACACACAAGGTGCCCTCTGAGCCAGCTGTGGTGCAGGGGGCCTGCATGGTTTTGCGACTTATATGCATCTGCTGCCTGGAGCTGCTTTAGCCATGTTGGCCAGAGCCCACCTAGCTAGCCAGTGGGCTTACTTGTCTCGTGTTGCACAGCAATGACTAATTCAGCTATGGATGGCATGAATTCATCACTCAAGTGGCAGCTTTGGGAGCGTTCCTCTTGCCAGTGTGTCTAGAACATCTCCAGCTGCTTCAGGGGACTTCAGTGTAACTTTGAAATAAGCAAAAGCTGTTTTGTGTTGGAGCCAGTTATGTGCTGAGGCAGTTCTTGCTGGGTCTTGTTGATCAGTCTGTACTTTAAGCACTGTGCCAGCTTCAGCAACATCTGATCATTACTTGTCCTTACTACTTCCCAGTCATGGTGCAGATGGGGGTGTGAATGTGGGTGCTGCAAGACAGTCATCTATAGCAACAGAGTGATAAAGCTATAAACAGAGACAAAACAGCAGTTATGTGCTGAGGCAGTTCTTGCTGGGTCTTGTTGATCAGTCTGTACTTTAAGCACTGTGCCAGCTTCAGCAACATCTGATCATTACTTGTCCTTACTACTTCCCAGTCATGGTGCAGATGGGGGTGTGAATGTGGGTGCTGCAAGACAGTCATCTATAGCAACAGAGTGATAAAGCTATAAACAGAGACAAAACAGCCATGCAAAAATGGCAGCCGCCTGCAGCGTCCCCTTCCTGTCCAGTGATTCCTTCTGTTTGTAGTGTTCTGGTAGAGGTGCATTTGGAGGACTGACTCCTGTTTTCAGTGAAGCCTGTTATTAATTGTTTAAATTGTTAATTTAATTTTAGGGATATTCTTCGGGTACCACCATGTGGACTACAACTTATCTTTTTATTCAACATGCAAACTGGACTTATGCTATGAAGGAGATAGTGTGGGTGGTACAGAGCTAAAATCCTCATCTCCTGATCATTAAACACAGGGTTGTCTCTGCTTAAAAACCTGGGCATGAAGGATCAGCTGGAGCTCTTCTGGCATCCTGGTACCAGCATTACAAGTAGGAAGGGTAAAGTGTTGTATTTCACGGTATGCCCTTTCAGGATGAAGCTCACAAATTAGAGAGGAAATCTGAAATAGACTGCTGCTTATAATAGTCCAGAAAGCCAGAGAAACTGCTTTGAGTCTTCAGGGCAGCAGAAAGAATGCATGGTCTTCTTTCCAACTGCTGACTCAGTAATGGAGAGGAAAATTTGCCTTTTTGTTACAGAAAACATGCGTAAGCTTTAAGCATGCTGGTACTGACCATCTTCTGCAGCCCAAGTAAATAAACCTGTCTTACTATTTTTCCAGACATATATAATCCTGCAGCATGCAGCTGACAGTGTTTCATGTTTCTTGGCTTGTTAAGGGCCTGGCTGTCTCTCCCTGTTGCTCAGTATTGTTATCTGAAATAACATGAAACTCTCGGGCCACAGTATTTTAATCAGAGGGCCCCTTACTGTGGCATATCCTTCCATGGGCATTTTCCATCCCTGGAACACTGTATGAGCCGATCTCGGGGTAGCGTGGTGGTAGCAAGGCGACACAGAAGTTTGAATGGATTCTCCTCGCAACTGCCAGAGGGGGTCCTGGTGGAAGACAGGAAGGCTTTGAATTTTCTTTTTTCTTTCCCTTTTCTCTTCTTCTAGAAACCGACTCCCACATGTTGTTTGAGCAGATGAGTGCCACACTGGAACAAAAATCTATCTTAAGAAAAACACACTTGGCATTTAAGGTCTCTGTGCATCGTAAAATGATTCTTAGTGTGTTTTGAAGACAAAACAGATTCGTGGGCAGTTGAGATAGGAAAGTTCCTGTAAAGCTTTTAAAAGGAGAAACTCACTATTTAACCCCTCTATTGAGATGTTCCAGTTTTCAAGAGTATATATATTATTCCTTTTTTTCTGACATTTTCATCACACTTAGTATCTGAGAAGGCCTAGTATTTTCCTCTGTAGTATGTAAGACTTCCTTGAAGAGAGGAGATAACTCTTTTGTTATCGAAACGTTTTGATGTAGCCATTACATTGAACAAAACAATGCAGTAGAATTTACATGATAGTGGGTAGATAAATGATTCTCGGCACTGAGTCTTCGAGTAACATTGTGTGAGAACCTAGTGGTCAAGTGCTTTAAATAATGCAATAACAGAAGTGTTGGGGAAGAGGCTCGGTTCTGTCAAGACAGGTGTTAAATGAACATCAGGGACACAGGACCAGGAACCATAATCTATAGGCAGGGAGGAGATGCAGGTTCATTCCGATACTGAGCACACTCCTTCATCCTCTCCCCACTGCCCTGCATTTTTACCTTGCCTATAAACCATGGCAGGCACAGATAGCACAGCTAGCATCTCTACTGCTGAGACACACGCTCCTGACCTCTTACTAGTGTGCTGCTAGGCTTTGCCAGCATGGGGGAGAGAAGGGTCCTGAAAATTGTGGTGCATTTCAAACACCCCACTGTTGCAGACAAGAGAAGGTGGTCAGCTGGTTAAAATCTGTTTTGATGGGTAAAGACATTACCTCTGTCTTGAATTAGGAGAACTGAAATTCAAAAGTTCATCCCTGAGATACAGGTGCTACTTCAGGAAATTTGCTGCTTTTCCCCCATGGCTTTTACACTTGATTTGTACAGTTTAAATTGCTTGATGTTTTCATTGCATTGATTTTTAAATGAAACAGTGTTATTTTGCCAAAAACTTTTAGTTTATTTATGTATGTGTATATATATGTGTGTGTACATATATGTGTATACATACATATGCACACACCCTTTAAAAATAGGTCCCTACTTGTACAGCTTTCGCTGTGTTACAGCGTTCTGATAGCACTCACTTCTAGATCTTTCTCTCACCAGTTTTGGACAGGAGGCAGAGCTTGCTTTCTTAGAGATCCTACTGAGGTTCCCAGCACATATTTCTAACGGACATGTGCTTTCCAACCAGACATGATGGCAATATAGTGAAAGCACAGCTGTGCTTAGAGTTCAGTCTCTGCATGTGTACAGTTTGAGCTCCTCTTCCTCCTTCTAGATTTTTAATCAAGTCTCTGTGTGTCTAAAATCAATGGCAATGGCTATTGTAGCATTTTAAAAACTAGAAGAAGCTGTAGCGTAGTCCACTGCAAGATTTAAATAAGGAACAAAACTAAATGAACTGTTATAGACAATTGTTCATTACTCTTCAAGTTACCCTCTTACAAGTATTGTACAGATTGCATTTCTTTAAAGAGCAAATAATGTACTTGTTTTGAGTATCAGCTGTTTGGAATCGCTAAGCGTTTACACGTGCACATTACTCTGCAGCAGTCTGTTGGCATATAAATGTGTCGTTATCAAATGAAGCTTCATTGTGTGGGAGGAGAAGGTAAGAGACACTGTTGCGACACCTAAAAAGGACTTATGTTGAAGAGACAACAGATTTAGCTGCATAGGTATTTTATAATGTACTGACTCTGTGAGCAGGTATGCCCTGTGTTGCATACCCGCCGGTCCATGCTCCAGGACTGAAACTGGGGGTGCGTTGGAGTTGTGCACTTGTGAGACCTGGCAGTAGATATTTTTTCAGCCTGAGCCTCATATCTTCCTGACAGCCTTCGTAGTAATTGTGCATTTTCCTCTTCTGCTAGGCTGCCTTCCTGCCCTTTGGGCCCAGCCTTTATACTGAAACTGGTAACGAAGGCACAAGTATGTGGTGGTGAATGTGTGTGGAGAGTCGGGGAACGGAGATCCTGCTCTAAAACACCGCTCTGGCTATTGGGCTTAGACTGTTCAATAATTTCTACTTCAGCTTCTACTTCAGCCGTTTTAACAGCTGTGCAGCAAAGACCCAGCAACTACGGAACTACCTTGGATTCATGGTG